ATACAGTTCAGGCAGGACCACCAACCTCAGTCAGGCTTCAACCAGCCCCACCTGCCAGCCTTCTTACATGCAAGCAGTGGCACCGCCTGTCACCTTTCTCTGCCTTAGTCTCAATGTTGCCCTTGTCCTGCTCAGGCAGGGAAAAGGATGGGCTCTGCCTGCTCTGGCTCCATCTACTGTGGGTCACCTGCCTTCCGCCCCACCAGTCCTCCTGGGCAGCAGACACCACGGAATATATGGGGCAAAGTGCTATATATATACAAAGTGCAAGAAAACGTGTGTGTATGTATACATATGCACACACGTTTTCTTTTGTTCTGCTAACGGCTGCCTCTGGTCCAAGGAGGTTTGCAGTTTGGGGAAACGCAGCAAAACACGCTTCGTCTGAGGCGACAGGAGGGTGGGCGTGCACACTGCCGTCAGAGGGACCCTCCTACCCCCACAATGCCAGCGTGGAGCGCTCCCTGCCCCAGAGCCAAGGCGAGAGAGCTGTATATGGGCTTGAGGCACACGAGTCCCAATTCCCACCATTAGAGGGCACTGGTGACACATAAACAGTAACTAGTTCGTTAATCACAGGGGTGTTTTTATTTATTTATTTTCTTTATTAAAAACAATACTGTATATCCCTGAGCCCATCAAACATTCCCTGCAAAGTATGGTTTGTATACCTGTACTATGAATGGTCATATTGTGCATGGATAAAAATACTATACAGAATGTCCAAACTTTCCTTAAGTCAGGCACCACGGTAAGGGAGGGGGAATGAAGTTGCAGCTGATCTTTCTTTCTTTCTTTTTTTGCGGGGAGGGGAGCGGTTTGAGTCGTGCCGGGTGCAATGGAAACGGGGATTTTTGGTTTCAATTTTTCTAAATCTACCTCGAATCATGCCTGGATCCAGGGGCAGCGCTGGCGTCACGCCCCGCCAAGTGTTCCATTCCACCCACACGCACAGGCCCCTGCTGAGGATCCCGCAGCCGCTTTGCAATTCGCGGCTCGTAACCTTCCCCCACCGCCCTGCTCGCCAGCCCTCCCCTCTCCCGCATCGTCGCGGTTGCATGCAAGCTGGAAACGGCGGGGGCCGCGGGAACCCGCAACGTGGGAGAAGGGATCCGAAGCGAAGCCGCCACGCTTTGCGCAGCCCACCGGCGTCCATCCCGCCCCTTTTAAGTCGTCGTCGTCTGCTGCTGCTGCTGCTACCATCACCTTCCCTCCCTCACCCTCCCCTTTCTAGCGGAAAGAACTACACCCCCCAGGATGCTTTGCGGGTCTCTCCCTGGGGTTCCGGATGCTGCTCCTGCCGCTGACAAGCGAAGGTAAGCAGAGAGCTTCGGAGGCAGCCAAGGCAGCGACAGCAGCTCTTAAGGAGCTCGAGCCGAGGGGAGCCTCAGCCAGCTTTTTTTCCTTCCCTCCCCCTTTCTGCGAGCAAAAGCAAAGCAGCAAAGCGGCAGGAGAGGAGGCGAGAGAAAAGGAGGAGGCGGCGAGCAGGGAGGGAAATCGCCACCAGCACCAGCTGAGCAGCAGCAGCAGCAAAAGAGAGAGAGAGAGAAAGAGGGAGAAACAGTCAAGGGTCTGGTTTGTCTTTCTTTCCTTCGCCCCCCTCCCACCCAGCAGCAGTAAAGAGAGAAGGGGGTGGAGAGAGTAGGGAGGGGAAAAAAGAGAAAAAGACACAGGGAGCTCGAGAGAGAGCGCAAATTCTCCCAGCCTTGCATATTTTCCTTCCTACCCCTCCTCCTGGCTTTTTCTTTTGTGTGGCGTGTTTGAAAGGAAGGGAAGGAGGCAAAAGAGACGGAGGAAGAAAGAACGAAAGAAAGGAGGAGAGCGAGCGAGAGTGGGGAGGGGGGAAAGGAGGAGGCGTCGTAGAGTCATGTCCAGCAGAGTTGCGTGAGGATAATGTGATCGGCCAAAGAGGCGATGAATATGCTGTCGCTGAAGGTTGGCAGTGGCGCCGAAGGGTCGGGCAGTCTCCCCGGCAGCGCGGAGCCCTCTCCTCTGGAGGAAAAAAGTCTCTCCCGAAAGGCAGCCGCCGCCGAAGGGATCGGATCCCCACAGCAGCAGCAGGCTGGTGAGTTAACTCGGGCGATGCGCCCTCTTCTCTCTCCCCGCGCTCTCTCTCGTCCAGCCCTTGCCCACCACCACAGAGCCCTTGCTCCAGAAGGAATAGATCTCCAACCCTCCCTCTTATTTTAAAATTTATGTGTTTGTTTCTGGCGACCCCCACCCCCAAATCCGCTGCCCGCCCCCTGCTCTTCCAGCGCAGGATGCTTGATGGCTACAGAATTTCCTTTCCCACCGTAGTTCTGATTTTTCTATATATATAAAAAACAAACCCCATGGCTTTGGCTGGGGAGGGGGGGAGAGGAACACCCCCAGTCCACCCACGGCTCCACGGCGTGCATGTGGGCGCAGCAAAGTATCAATGGGGTTGGAAAGAGGGATGGGGGGGGGAGGCGGCGGCGGCGGAGGGAAGCAAGAAATGAATGATTTGATTTTTTTTTTTTTATAAAAAAGCCAACTAGTGTGTAGTCCGTATGAAGCAGCCTTTTGTCTCAACCAGTGTGAGCAAAACCTTGGCAGTTGGAGCAAGACACTTGAAGCGCAAAAAAAGGTTGTTTCTTTTTATTTCCTGCCTTCGCTCCCTCCCTCTTTCTCCTTTCCTAAGCGATTCCTCTTCAGTTGTTCTCTTTCTCTTCCCCCCCCCCATGCAATGTGCTGATCATCAGCCGCCACTTTCTTTTCTCCCCCCCTCCCCCGCCGCTCTTTAAATTGCTCCCGAAATCGCTTTAGGTGTAAACATTAATCTGGCTTCGCACATGCAGATGGGGGTGGGGGTTGCGCGACGCAAAAAGCAAAGGAGGGTTTGCATTTGAGAAGGCTCGGAGTAAGCGGATCTGTTTACTGGCGCGCTGGGGGGGGGCACTGGAAGAGACTAGAGGGAGGCGGTGGGTGAGGAGGGGAGGAGGAGGAGATGCTTTGAGAAAGGAAGGAGTTGTGCGGGGGGGGGAGTGGAAGCTCTCGAAGGCAAACAATCCCTTATTATTTCAGCATGTGGGGACTGGCGGGGAGGCGCAACTGGGGACGGAAGCGCCCTGCGGAACCTCCCTGGGAAAGAAAGGGTGAAGTTGCGTCCTCTCTCCTCTGTAGAGTTTGTTTTCTCTCTCTCGTGCGCTCCCCCCGCCCCGCGGCACCCCTCTCCAAGATCACCGTGGCTGTAGTTTGCGAAGGGACCCATCGATCGCAAGAAGGGAGGGGGGCGGAAGAGGTGAAGGGTCACGGCGGTGGAGGAGGAAGATCCTGCAAAACAGGTCCTCCTCAGTAGCGTGGGGTTTGTTGGCAAGCTGTGGGAGTGGGTGGGGGTGCGGGCGAGAACCGAACCTGTAGCGCAGTTGCCTCGGACACGCAAATAAATTGGTGGTGCGAGAATGCAATTCTTTCAGTAGGCAGAATAAAGCACTTGGGGATAACCTTTTTCTTTCCTCCATACAAGCGCGCGGGCGGTGGGGTGGAGTGGGGTGTTGAGTGACAGCTGCCAAGCAGGGTTCTGTCCACTAGAAGGCAGGTGGTTTCTAGCTTAAATCAAATGAAGGAAGGCACCGAAGTTCCTGACTGATTCCCTTTAAAGCTATAACGTGCCACCTGAGTGTGTGTGAGAGGGAGAAGCGGTGCAACCCCGAGCATATTTTTATTTTTACTCAGAAGTTAGTTCTCTCACCTTCAGCGGGTCTTACTTGCAGGTAAGCATGCATAGAATTGCAGCCTGAGTCTATAATTTTGTGCAGAGCCTTCTTAATTACTTTGCTTCCTGCCAAAATGGGGCAAGGCATCTGAAGCGTGGTGTGGTGTCTGTTTATTGATCACCTCGTTTATCCTGCCCTTCCTTGGAAGAGCTCTAGGCAGCTTACACTGGTGTGTGTGTTGTTGCACAGATGAATTTCCTGTTAGGGGGGATCCCCAAGGCTTTCCAATCTCTCTCTTAAAGAATGTCATCTTCTTTTCTTAAATTTGGTATTTTGCGCACTAAAGTTCTATGCATGTGGACTCAGGAGAACTTACTCTCAAGTAAATGTACATAGGACTGTAGCCTTTACAACCATCTTCTTGGTGCTTGTGTCTAACCCTATGGGGAAATCTTAGTCTGATGTGTGGAGCTTGTAAACATCCTGGGAGAGAATTGAGTCCGCCTTCTTTCTGGGGGGGGGGGTTGGATTCTCCTCCTCCTGTCTTTAGATACTGTATTATACTTTGTCTCGCAGAGCAAGCTAAATCAAAACGCTTGGGCCCATGCAGGAATAAATTAGCTGCAACAATTTGGCTGATGAGGTGCACTGGGCGATAGTTGAATTAAGCCTTTGAGGTTTTAGTTGTCAAGGTCTGTTGACATAGCTTTGCATGGAGAAAGTTTCACTAACAAGGGAGAGCTGTGTCTGAACACTTCTCACTTGCCTAAGACTTGACATGTCTGTTCTCTCACCCCAAGCTGGACTGAGTTCAGTGGTATGTGACGAGAGAGTGCCGGTCATGGTGGAAGCGGGAGGGTCCTGAAGCTGGATTCTCAGGTTCTTTACAAGGGTGTAAAGCAAATCCACAGCCACTCTGTTTGGAGGTTGATGTACATGTGGAGTTGCTTTTAATGAGCTCCTAGGTGTCTCCTTACTGTTTATGCCAAGAAACATCCCACTGGGGAGGGGCCCTCACTCTGCTGGTAGAGCACATGCCGTGCATGCAGAAGGTCCTCGGCAGCTCCTGTTCAAAGGATCTTGCATCTCTGGGTGGCAAAAGACCTCTGTGCGAGACCAACGCTCACTGTGGTGTAAGATGTTGCTAGGATAGATAGGCCAGTGGTCTGGATCTGTAGGAAGCAGCTTCATATGCTCACTGCAACATAGGAAACGGCCTTCTACTAAGTCAGGCTGCTGGTCTACCTAGCTCAGTATCGTCTGCCCTGACTGGCAGCTGCTCTCCAGGGTTTAAGGCACATGTCGCTCCTGGCCCTACCTAGAGGTACGGGGGATTGAACTTTCTGCATGCAAAGTGGATGCTGTGCCGCTCAGCTACAATCCACTGGGCTGTATGGGACGGTGTGCCACAAATCCAAGCTTTACTCAGTTGCACCTCTGTGCCCCTAATGAGCCCAAACACACTGATTGTGTGTTTCTGCTTGTGACTGTCTTTAGGCCAGTTTTGCCCTGAGAAAGAATCAAAACCTGCTCTTGCCGTATATTTTTTTCAGTTAAGTGACACCGCCTTTCTCTCTCTCTTTCTCTCTAACAGTGGTGTACCTGAGGACGCGACTATGGACGTCCTAGGGCTGCGTGCCAGAGATATAGATTGCAACTGGAAGCCTGAAAAGGCTTGCTGAAGGGGGACTAGTTTGTGCCTTGGGCAGAGGCAAGGGCATAATGGAACATTTTGGAACAGGAGCCGGGCAGAGACAAGGAGGTGGAAGTATGTGGAAAGTTATGGGTGGCTTAGAGGGGGCTGGCTGGCGTCCTTGCCCTAGCTGCCTCAGAGAGAGGCTTCAGGGACCTGGGGGTGGTCTATTTCTGCTGAGATCCTGAAGAAAGATCTGGGAGAATGGTAAGCATCTATAAATAGAGTGTGTCAGCCGAGTGGAAATGGAGCCTCTAAAGCGCTAGAGAGAGGGAGACAGAGAAAGAGACCAGTGTCTTGATAAACAGGTTTGTGTTGTGGGGAGGACTGTGTTTGTAATGAGATCCGGGACTGAGCAATGGGGGCCTGGGAATAGGGGTGATGGTGCGGAAGCTACTTCCTGTTTGGTTGGGGTGTGTACGTCAAGGCCTTGTCCAAAGGCATAATTCTAGTTGTGTGGAATAATGTCCAGGTCATATTGCCTTGGGTGCATGCTCTGGCAAGAATGTGAGGGGGATGAAGAGTGCTGAGTGGTTTGGGAATCTCAATCTAAAAACACCTCTGGCCTGTATTCCAGCTTGTGATGAATGAGTCCTCTGGGCAACAGGCCTTCCTATGGAACTTTTAGCTGAAGTGCTGAAGCAGCCTTCCCGCTCAACCTGGTTCCTTCCAGATGTCTATTTGGGACTAAAATCCCATCAACCCTAGCCAGCGTGATCAGTGGGTCATGGGATTTGTAGTCCCAACAAACCACCTGGAAGCCACCAGGTTGGGGGCGGTTGTTTAATATTAGAACGGGTCTCTGTTTTGTAGGAGCCTTCTATGTGGTCACCTGTTGGTTGGTCGGTGCCATGAACTTCACAGGATACCACGGCTCTCTCAGCCAGGATAGAACTATCTTACCTGTTAAAACAAATCCCAAGGAGTTGTTGAGCAGAGATGTTTCAAGGTGCTTCAGGACCAATTCATCAATTCAAATAGCAAGGGGAACTAACAGTATGGGAACCTCTTGTTGTCATTGGAAATAAGGATAAATAAAGGTGGGTTGTTGTTGTTGTTTTTTAAAAAAAGTTGCACTGATGTGGTGGAAGAGTGAGAGTAGGGCCAGAGCAACTTGAGACAGTGCACACTAAAACCAGAGGCAGAATTTGCAGGAAAGTTGCCTATAATTTTGGCAAGCTTTTGCAGGAGACCTACCTAGTAGATCATGCCAACCATGGAGCTAGGCCTGTTTGTCTGTCACCCTTAATAATGCTCCAAACCCATTGCTTGAAGCTTCTGTCCCACCTTGTTTATGGTAGGAATTCATTTGGGTGATACGTGAGGAAGAGGAGTATGTTCACTTTCTAGACTGAGAGTGTCCCTATTGTGGAGATTAGGGATTCTGGTGGTGGTTAACAAGTAAGATTATTCTAAAGCAACCTTCCCCAAACTTAGTTTCCTCCAGGTGTTGCTGGACCACAACTCCCATCATCCCTGACCATATGGTTTGGAGATGATAGGAGCTGGAGTCCAACTATATCTGGAGGGCACCAGGGTTGGGATGCCTGGTTCTTGCACTGGTGGTTGTGGATGAGTGGTGGATAGCGTAGCCCTGCTCAGTTAGTGCCTTGCTAAAGTGAATGTGCTCTGCCAACCATGCATGCCACCCTGCTGGGCATCCATATCCCGTGTTGTTATTTTGCCACCTGCCCAGAGATATGGGAATGTCAAAGCACCTGACAAGTCTGACTGGTGGGTTATAAGTTGTGCAGGCCAAGAGAAGAGAGAGACTCCGCTAGATATTCTGCACATCCTTGGAAATTGCAAAGTTCCTCATATGATGATTCCACCCTCCTTTCTTTGGAGCAAACAGATAACAGAGGGGAGGAGGAGGGCTGTTTCTGTTTTCACGTTTGACATGTGTGTGTTTTCCCTTCTAGGAGAAAGGGGTTAAATTTAGTCAGTTTGGATAATCTGCATCCATGGACTTGCAAGTTCCTCATCATGCATGTTGCCAGCCCTGGCAAAGGGGGATGCTTGCTTTATGCTTTTGAAGCAATTAATCAACCTCTCTCATTCAAACATGACCTTAAAAAATAAAATAGTATAGTAATATTCTGGATAGTCAAAGACTTGTGATTTAAGTATTCTTGATATTGGGAAGGGTTGTAGCTCTGTGGTGGAGCATCTGCTTTGCATGCAGGAGAACCCTAGTTCAATCACTGGCATCTCCAAGTGGGACCAGGAGAGAACCTTTCCTGAAGATATGGACAGCCGCTGCCAATCAGTGTAGACAATACTGCGCTAGATGGGTCCATGGTCTGACTTGGTATATGGCAGCTTCCGGGGCTCCTATCTTATCGCTGTCCCCTCCAAAGGTCACAGTGGGTTTTTGTTAAGAGTTCAGCATCCACTTCAAAAAGTTAAGTCACACTTTTTTAAAAAAACAACACAGCAATGCAAAATCTGTCATGGTGCATGGAAACTGACAGTGTTCTTCAGGCCATTGACGTATTAGCGTTTTGTCTGCCTCGTTTGTGGTGTAGCATGAATATGGTGACCATGGTGCATGATTCATGCTGCATGTGTGATGGGGTTATGGGAGACAAGACACAAGATTCTTGAACTTGTATGATCCTCTGAACGAATGAGTATCGCACGTTGTTGGATGTGAGCATGTGCTAGTACTTTGCACAGATCGTTGTGATGAAAAGCCCCATTGCATGGATGTAACTGCATGTTTATTCCTAGTGGTGGCATCTCCCCTACAAGAACTGTAGGCCACAAATCTGATGCATGTTTACTTGGAAGCAAATCCCATTATCTTCAGTGTGGCTTATTCACTGTAAAGGAGTTGAGGGTTATTACCCAGGTCTCTTTCCATGCCTAACCTGCAGACCTCTGTCATAAGGGGCAACCTCTTCTTGAGCTCAGTCTCTAGTGTCAAGTGCATCAAATTGTGGATTTCTCTTAGATGCAAGCTAGAACACAAAACTTTAATATGTGGTGCATTCTACCACAACGTATATCCAAACGTATGCTGATGTATTTGTTTATAGTTGTTTCCCTTTACAGTAAAATGCTAGTTTAAAAATATCTGTCTACTGGCATTTCTTTTGCAAATTAGCAGGCAACCAGGCTTTTGGGTGCTGCTACAGTTATAGGAACACAGGAAGCTTCTTTATATTGACTCAAACCATTGGTCATCAAGCTCAGTTTGGTCCACATGCTGGCTGGCAGTGGCTCTCCAGGGTTTCAGGCAATAGTCTCTCCCAGCCCTACCTGGAGATGCCAGGGATTGAACTTGGGACCTTCTGCATTCAAGCAAATTCTATGCCACTGGACAACATCCCTTCCTACTGGAGTGTTTGACTCTAGTGCCTGTTACAAAAGCATTTGTGGCTAATTCTATGCATGCCCTCTTAAAAGAATCAGCTTTGGCTTCAGCCTTGGTGCTTTGGAATTTGGTCTTTCCTGCTGTTCCACAGAGAAGGTAGTGGTCTTCTCAAGGCTAGCTAACATAGGTTGCTGCCTTTATACTGAGTCAAACAATTGGTCCAACAAGCTCACTATTTTCTATACTAACTGAGAGGATTTCAGGCAGGAGTCTCTCCCAGTCCTATTTGGAGATTCTAGGGACTGAACCTGGGATCTTCTGCATGCAAGGCAACTCTGCTGCTGAGCTATATTCCTTACCCACGATACCCATCTAGGTATCAGTCCAGGGATTGAGAGCATTGACTTGGTGCTCCCAAGATACATGCACTGCTACAGACCCTTGCCAGGCTATGTGGCTAGCAGTAAGCAAACAGCTGGGGACCATAGCAGGGCTGGTGTCTTGGGGCAAAAAGGTACTTGCCTTTCCCTTGATGCTTTATTGGGTGATAAAGCTCCAGAGTCTAACTGGGTCTAAAGCTTGCATGCCTAGTTCTAGTATCAGTCATGCAGCATAGCATAGTATGAGTTTAGGTGGTGCTTATTTTAAGTTAGATCTGGGGTCTGTTTTGGCTTGGCTTGGATCAGGTGAAGTAGGAGTGTTTTCTCTGCAGGGACAATTCATGCTTCTATCAGCTGACCAAAACTTAAGTATCCTACACCAGGAATGAACCAGGAGGTATCATAGAATCATAGAACTGTAGAGTTGGAAAGGAACAGTTGGCTTTGACTCCTGAGCAGATGCGTCTCTGGTGCCTGTTGTATTGGAGCAGGGGTGGGGAAATTTTAGCCCTCCAGATGTTGCACTCCCAACTCCCATCAGCCTTAACTGGCATGGCCAATAGTCAGGGATGGTGGGGAATGTAGTTCAACAGCCTCCAGAGGGCCAGAGGTTCTCCATCCTTTCGTTATAGCAGGGTTTCCCAAACTTGGGTTTTCAGCTGGTTTTAGACTATAATTCCCATCATCCGTGACCACTGGTTCTGCTAGCTATGGATAATGGGAGTTGCAGTCCAAAAGCAGCTGGAGACCCAAGTTTGGGAAACTTTGTGTTAGAGGAAGGAAAGGATAGACCTCTAATGAAATTGGTATTAAGGTGTTACCTTGGTTTTGTTAGCTTTTCTAGTTTTTTTGATCTGAATATTTTAAAGAAATAGATATCCTTTCTGGCAAGTTTTACAGCACTTGGTTCCAAAACAAAAATCCTGTCTTTAGGCATATTTCCACAAAATGTTTGTAAAGTATTAATTACTTTCAGGGTAAAATACACTAAAGCTGAACTCTGATCCCTACCTACCCAGGAATAAGCCCCATTGAATTCAGCAGGACTTACTTCTGAGTAGACATGGCTGGGATTACCTTGTAAATCTTCCAGCTCTTCTTGTATAGGAAGTTTTGGCATTTTGAAGCCCAGCCATATCTTTGTATTAGACATCCCAGGGAGCAATACTTGGGGCTGGCCTAAGATATTTTGCTGCCTAAGGCAGAGAATCAAATAGTGTCCCTCGCCCACTTGAGTCAAGGTGCATAGCATCCAAGGGCGGCCAAGTTATTTCTACGAGGCAGAAAATACCACAAGCACCTTTCCCCCCTCCCTGCCGGTAAAAATACAAAAACAATAAATTAAGTAACCAGCAATTTGCTGTCCTTTCATTATACTCAAAATCAGCTGCCTGAGGCAGCGTCCTCATTCTGCCTAATGGTAGGATCGGCCCTGGCAATACTATGTTGTTTCTCCTTTGACATTGTGTCCATACAGTGCCATATGAACTTCAGAAGATGACACCAGCTAAGAGGTTAATAGAGCAGGATTCAGGAGTATGTTCATGTTGTTCTTCTGTTGATGTTGTTTTAAACCCAAAGTATTTGTATCTGAATTATTTTGCCCCATAACTACTTCACTGCTGTTTCTTCCCTAAGCTGTAATTACTGTAGTAAATAATTGCTGTAATTATGAGGCCTTTAAAACAGAGCGAGCGAGCGGGGGATGGATGGATGGCGTCACTTGCTGTCTGTAGAAAATTGTGGTTACTGTCATGTACTCGTACTTGGGTGTATTTTGAGAAAAGGATGCATGGGTGTCAATCGGAGATGCTTCAGGCCTAGGTGAACCTTTCATTGTAGCCCAGAGGTAGGCAAAATAGAGATCAGGATATCCTGGTAATGATCTGGGGTAAACCGGAAATGGACTTCCAAAGCAACCACAAGAAGACTTGTTGTATTCCTGAATTATGCTGCTAAAGCAATAAACGTCATGGGGAGGGGAAGACAAGGAGTGGATTTTGTAGCGTGTAAGGGCCCTGAGCTCAGTTCCTGGGCTGAGGGTGTGCCTGCACAGGGGCACCCAGTTCTATAATTCTGAACTGTGCATTGACTTGCTTTAAGCCATTGATTTGCTCCAGACCCTGGACAGCGGACCCCATAAAAAAACAAATTACGTCCTGCAAGGCTAATGTTCATACAGCCCTGATGTAACCTGTCGTCCGCTTGAAAGGCCGCCTTTTCCCATTGAACCTGTCTTAATTTTTCAGCTCCGTTTAGAAGGCTCTCCTCTGTATGACTGTAGGTAGGTGCAGACTGGGATAAGGGCCTTTTTTGTGCTGCTGCTGCTCCATTTACAGAACACTCTCTTCCCCAGGCTTATGAGGCACCAGTATTGGTGCCCTGCAAGCATCAAGCTAAAAACTTTATTCTCCTGAACTGGACTGGGAGCCTGCCTTTAATATGCTGTTACCAGAGGTGGCCTAAAGATACCAGAGGTGCCACAGTATATTCTATTGGCTGTAATTTGTTTTATACTGGTTTTTTTAAAAAAATAAGGTATTTTCAAATTGCTGTAACCTGCCCTGGGACCTTATGTTAATGGGCGGGTAAGAAATCTAATAAATAGTAGTAGTAGTAGTAGTAGTAGTAGTAGTAATACACAGCATGCAGTAATCAATTAAAAAATTCAAAATACAGCATCAAAATAATTAAAGGCATTTCAAAATGTAATAAAGTGGGAATGGCAGACATGTTGTTGGGCTTGGGTCCAGACATTGGTGGACAGTTGGCCATGCTGGCCAGGGCTGATGGGGAGAGTGCCACACTGACTATCCCTTTAGGAGGGAGTGTCATTTGGAGTCCGAGCTGCGCTAAAGGGGAAAGTGCACGGCTAATTCACTGTACCTGAATACAACACAGCAGGCCAGTATTATCTCCATGCGGTAGATGGGAGGAGGAGGTTGAGAAGCAATGACATTGGGATGTGAACTGGTGACTTTGAGATGATGAGATTTAGGAGAAGGGGCCACAGCTCAGCAGTTGAGCATCTGCCACGAATGCAGAAAGTCCCTGATTCAATCCCTGACATCTCCAGGTGGGGCTGGGAGAGAATCTGTGCCTGAAACCCCAGAGAGCTGCTGTTGGTCAATGTAAATAATGAGTCGGATGAACCAATGATCTGACATGACCTAAAGCAGCTTCCTGTGTTCCTCTGATCTCACTATCAGCATGGAGGAACATCTCTCTTTCGCTCACCCACACTCTTCCCTACCCTGGAACTTCAGTAGAAGGCGGTGCAAACACACCTGGATGTTTTTTCCACAGCCTTAGTTAGCTGGTGCATATTTGCTCCCAAAGGTGGATAATGTGGTGGTGCTTTGGAGAGGTATGGGAGTGGACGATGGGGCGGCCCTCGCAGGAAAGGGAGTTTGGAGAGGCAGCTGGTGTTGCAGATCCAGGTGCATAGCAGAGTAGGATGGTGCTGGCTAAATGATGGCGGAGATGCCGTTTAGTGAGAATCTGCAGCTCCTGTTCCTCAAGGGAAAGGGTTGCTGGCTGTTCCCAAATGGCACCCACCAGTTGGTATGTGGGAGCTGGTGTTTGGTTACACTGCTGCTCAAAGGGGACTGTGAATGGGATCAGCAGGTGGGGTTTGAAAACACATGCAATACACAGCAAAGTTGAAATTCCGCTGGGGACTTTGCTGGTGGGGGTGGGGTGGGGCGAGCACAGCCTTTTAGCACATTTGCAGGGAACCCAGCTCCATTGGCTGAAAAGCTCAGGGACCTAGTCCACCTATGCAGTCGAACGAGGGGGTGGAATGGACTGTACTACTTCAGGCTGCAGGGGACTGGGAATATCATATTTGAGGGGTGGGAGGGAGAAATTTCTGCATGTCAAACAAAAAACTAACATCAAAGAGAGGTTCTGAGTATATTTTTTTAAAACTCTGTAATGAGATTTTCCTTGGGGTTTTCTTCAGTAACATGATCCCACACATAACAGCCTCAAGTGGCACAGTTCATTATTTCACTTCAGGACTGTACTGTTTGGCTGCCTGCATATCATACATGGTTTTCCACAAAGAGTCCTGGGAACTGTAGTTTTGTTAAGGCTGCATAGAATTACAACTTTGTCAGGGGTAAACTATGGTTTGCAGGACTATTGCGGGGGAAACCAGGTACATTAAGTATACGGTGGGGATGTGACCTGTGTTTATCAAGAGTTCTCTGAGATTACAAGGTAGGACATGGCAAATATGTTAAGTTTTCCTACAAGTTCTGGATATCTACATTGTATGAAAGGGGGGCGGCTTATCTGCTTTCCTCCACTGAAGCAGAAGCATAATAATAATAATACAGTGGTACCCCGCAAGACGAACGCCTCGCAAGACGGAAAACCCGCTAGACGAAAGGGTTTTCCGTTTTGGAGGCGCTTCGCACAACGAATTTCCCTATGGGCTTGCTTCGCAAGACGACAGCCCATAGGAAATCTCAGGGACAGCGGGGACGCGCAGCGCGACTTCCCACCTGTCCTCGGACCTCCTCCGAAGCCTGGCGGGGGGGCGGGTACCCCTCCTCCCGCCGCCGCCGGGCTTCGGAAGGCTCCTCCGAAGCCGGGCGGGGGGGAGGGAACACCTGCCGCCGCCGCCCGGCTTCGGAACGGTGCTCCAAAGCCGGGCGGGGGGGGCGGGAACACCTGCCGCCGCCGCCCGGCTTCGGAACGGTGCTCCGGCCGGGCGGGGGAGGGAACACCTCCCCGCCGCCCGGCTCGGAACGGTGCTCCGGGCCGGGCGGGGGGAGGGAACACCTCCGCCGCCGCCCGGCTTCGGAACGGTGCTCCGGCCGGGCGGGGGAGGGAAGACCTCCGCCGCCGCCCGGCTTCGGAACGGTGCTCCGGCCGGGCGGGGGGAGGGAAGACCTTCTGAAGGCGGGCGGGGGCGAAAGTCTTTGCTCCCCTGCCTGCCTGTCCCGGAGGGCTTTTGAAGGCGGGGGAGCAAGACTTTCGCCCCGCCCGCCTTCAGAAGAGGTCCAGGACCTCTTCTGAAGGCTGGCGGGGGCAAAGTCTTTGTCCCCCTGCCTGCCTTCCCAGGGGCTTTAAATTGCCCCGGACAGCGGAGAAGTCCTCCGCTGTCCCGGGTGATTTTAAAATGCCGCCCGCCAGCATTTTAAGATCGCCCGGACAGCGGAGAAGTCCTCCGCTGTCCCGGGTTTTAAAATGCTGGGGGTGGGAAGAAAAGCCCTTGCCCCCCCAGCCTTCAGAAGAGGTCCGGGGACAGACTGTCCCCGGACCTGGTCTGAAGGCGGTTTCCTAGGAACGCATTAATTGATTTTCAATGCATTCCTATGGGAAACCGTGCATCGCAAGACGAAAAACTCGCAAGACGAAGAGACTTGCGGAACGAATTAATTTCGTCTTGCGAGGCACCACTGTAATTAATAATACAGCTGGGCACAAAACTCCTAGTGAAGATCCAGTCCTCTGTCCTGAGGGCACCTTCAAACTTTTTTCCAATTTACGGAGGTCTGTACATTGATAGCATGGGTGAGAACGCAAATCTGTTTCTGAGAGAAGATGGGTACACTTGCATTTTGAACAACAGTTTTGCCAAGTCCCATCAGCCTCAGTCAGCATGGCCAGTGTTGGGGGATGATGGGAACTGTAGTCTGTGAGCATCTGGAGGGCATTTCGCCACCCCACGTCTACAGTGCTCAAGAACTGACTGCCTTCTTAAGTCAGACAACTCCAGCAGGAATAGAATGAGAAGAGAAAGGTGTAGAGCTGAAGCAAGCACAAAGAAATTGATAGCAAACAAGAACTGCATGCTGCTTTGTTGTAGGAAGGAAGGTGTACAAGCTCTATCAGTGGATTTCACAACAGCAGCATTTGAATTTAACAATGAGTTTAGGTTGCCTCGGTAGAGAAGAGAGGAAAGAACCTGTTCTGCAACCTTGAAATCCAAGTCCTTCTCCTCTTGCACCCTGTTTGCCACCATTCAGCTTGCATTTATATTTGTCTCTCTTTTAAAAAAATAAAATAAAATAATTTTGAGATTTTGTGTGTGGCTTCTTTCGCTTTTAGCATTCTTTTTTTAGCAGAAAAGGAAAAATTGGTACAACTGTAATTACTCAGTGGTGCATAAGAACATGAGAAGAGCGCTGCTGCATCAAGCCAAAGACCCATCTAGTTCAACATCCTGCTCTCACAGTGGCCAACCAGATGCCTATGGGAAGCTTGCAAGCCAGACCTGAGTGCAACAGCACTCTGCCCACCTGCAATTCCCAGCAGCTGGTGTAAGGAGGTATACCGTAGATTCCGGCGTATTAGGCGACTGGGCGTATTAGATGACCCCCCAAATTGGCAGCTGCAATTTGGGGGTTCGTCTTCTAAGCCCAGTGGCCTAATACGCTGGGCAGCTCCGCGCCGGGAGAAAGCAGCCTGGAGCAGAGCGGAGCCCGCCACCCCTGCTGCTGCATCCGAAGCAGCAGTGGGCGGGCTCCGCACCGGGTGGCTCTCTCCTGGCGCAGAGCGGAGCCCGCCGCTGCTGCTTTGGAGCCGCTGCCGCCACAGCAACTGTGGGGTTGCGGCGCTCATCTCGCTTTACAGTGGTACCTCGGGTTATATATGCTTCAGGTTACATATGCTTCATGTTACAGACTCCGCTAACCCAGAAATAGTACCTCGGGTTAAGAACTTTGCTTCAGGATGAGAACAGAAATTGTGCAGTGGTGGCGCGGCGGCAGTGGGAGGCCCCATTAGCTAAAGTGGTGCTTCAGGTTAAGAACAGTTTCAGGTTAAGTACGGACCTCCGGAACGAATTAAGTATGTAACCAGAGGTACCACTGTATTGACCGAGGGAGCCGGCGTACAGCTTCCGGGTCATGTGGCCAGCATGACTAAGCCGCTTCTGGCGAACCAGAGCAGCGCACGGAAACGCCATTTACCTTCCCACTGGAGCGGTACCTATTTATCTACTTGCACTTTGACGTGCTTTCAAACTGCTAGGTTGGCAGGAGCAGGGACTGAGCAACGGGAGCTCACCCCGTTGTGGGGATTCGAACTGCCAACCTTCTGATCAGCAAGTCCTAAGTTCTGGCGTCCCCAATACCTACATACACTAGCATAAACTGCTTAGATGTCTTTCGTTCTGGTTAGTAGTATATCAATTTTGTAAATTAAATAAATAAAAATAGTGGGCAGCATCCCTTTCTTTTTTGCAAAAGCTGGGAGATACAGACTCTCTTTAAGGGGGTGTAGCTCTTTCTTTCTGACACTGTGTCCTTTTTGCAATGTGTTTGTATTATTTGTTTTAAAATGTGTAAAAAACTCCTACAGAAACAACAACACAAAACAACCCACAAAAGGTGGCTTCCAGCAATATTAAAATATATCAGAATACCTTAAATCACTCATTGCAGCAGCAGTAGTGCAGACTCAAAATAAAACAGCCGATATCAATGGCCTGCAAAGGCCTGGGAAAGTAAGTAGGGTTCTTAGCCAGGGCTGGAAACGCATCACATTTGGTTCTTGCCTTATTTCAGAGGGGGAGGTTGTTCCATGTAGTCTGAATGTTTGTGATGTGTTAAGGGGGTTGCATTTTGGGGTATCACAATGACCTTTAATGCTTTGTCAGATTGGGCTCTTCAGTTGTTTTGGCATCGAAATGGAATGAATTTACTTGTGATTATCTTTCCTTCCCTGTCCCCCCGCCTTTGTTACCCATGGTGGCTTGAAGGAACAGCAGCAGAAGAGGCTAAATAAGTAGAACTTTGCGGGTGAGGAGCTGAGAGTGCAGAGGGCACATGCCAAGTGTGGAAAAAGGGTTTATTTATGGTAGTGGCGGAGAGACGAGGGGGAAGGAAGGAAGAATTCGGCTGGGTTTGTGGAACGGGTGGATAGAGGCTGACGAGGGCTGCAAATGCATGGAATGGGCTTTGGTGGGAACAGGCAGAAAACCCATCGTGTGGGGCATTCTTTCCTAGGGCTGTGCAAAGTATTCGTTGGAGCTGGGGATATGTGGCTTGTAACAGCAGCATGTTAGGGAGAAGACAACACAATAGCGCATCTGGAGGGCACTACTGGCTGCCCCTGTTTTACACTGGCTGGCAGTGGCTCTGCAGGGATTGAAACTGGGATGTTTTGCATGCAGAGCATGTGCTCCATCCCTGAGCTGCGGCCCCAACCCACCAACATTGCAGGTAATGTTGTCTAGCTGTGTCTTCCCCAGGCTTTCCAGCATCGTAGAATTGTTGGAAGGCACCCAAGGGGCATCTAGTCCAACCCCCTGCAATGCAGTAATCTCTTTCCCAGCATTTGACTTGAACCCACGACCCTGAGATTAAGAGGCTTATGCTCTACCGACTGAGCTATCCCATTGCCCCTGGTGTCAATTGTGTGTGAGATAAGGAACTAATGTACCCCTAGCCCTCTTTTTCTTGTTTTTTTTGGCTGCTTAGCCTCCTTTGTGGGCTTTCTGCTTTCCATCGCAGTCTGCTGGCTTGTGTGGGCCACTTAGGTGCTCTGTTCTGTTGTGGTGCTTTACCTTAAGGAAAGGTGTTCCCTGCCCCGTTGGTCCTGTGGGCTCTTTCCCTTACCAGCATTGCTTTCTAACTTATAACCAGTGAGGGTGTGTGGATTCCCTTTCTGAGCTGCACAGCCCCCTAAGCACCTGGCCGTCTGTTAAGGAGTTTGCTTTTCATGTTTTTCATAGTAGCCATGAAGCAAGCTTTGCTTTGTTAAAATGTGGCAGTTGTCGTGTGTGGGAGACCCAAGAAGGACAATTGCAACCCTACTGCCATAGTCGTGAGTCTCTGCTTGCATTAATTTGAGTATTACAGTATAAGAAATGGGCTGACAAACAAGTCACTAGTCCGTAATGATTTGTGTTAGACTAGCCTTTGCCAAGCAAGTGCCCTCCAGATATTTTGGACATCGGGTTGGCTACCTTTTTATTTCTCTGCATGTTGTTTCCAGAACGGGCATCAACAAGACTGTGTGTTATAATTCTACAATACCAAAAGTTTATGTGTGGTTGGGAGGCGGGAGAAGTTGCAGTTGCTCTTTTCTGCCTTCAGAAGTCCTCAACGTTTATTTTTATTTTTTGAGATTGAAGGCACGATTGATCAAAGTTAGTGTAGATGCACAGTTCCAAACCTTCACAACTTCTATTTCCTTCATGAAACAACCAAAATACCAGTGGAACTCGACCCCCTTATAAGTAGGAAGCTTATTTTGGACTGGGGTGTGTGGTTGTTTTTTTTTATAAAACACCCTCTGAATGGCTGACAACCCTCTGGAGGAATAAGCTGGGAATGAGGGGTCAGATTCCATATTGGAAGGGATGAGGGGCAGACAAAGAGAGCAAGGGCAGACAGTAACGCACCCCCCCTTGCCGAAAGTGCCATTTAATGCGCTAGTTAAAAAAAGAAAAAAGAAAAGTGAGGCAGAGAGTCCTTCTGCTCACATTGGCTACTGAAGTGTCACAGCTGCCTGCTGTCCCCCGGGTCACTCGGGAGCCATTGGGCAGCTCGGAGGTAGCTGTGTGTGCGGTTGCTGAGTCTGTGAGGAATACAGATTGCTGGGAAGAGGACTCGGTGGGGGGGGGCGAGGAGGGAGGTGTCTGAGGCAGCCAGGCTGGCGTGGGGGGGGGGCGATGTCCTCCTGAAATGCCTGATGTGAACTGTAATGGAACAGGATCCAAGCCTGGAGGGACCTGCTTAGTGTAACCCTAGCTGCCATCTCCTTGTGAGCAAGAATGGGAACTGCTACCTATATCCCTGGGCTCCCTGGAGCGCAAGGTATGTGGGTCTGCAGGGTCAGTGGTGTGCAGCTCAACACATGGCTGGCATCTCTGCCTGACTGATCAAAGGTAAATTCCAGAGGCCTCTCTTCTCCCTCCCCACCCCCCTTCCAGCCAATGTGTAAATCCTCACTGGAGGCCTCTGCTCTCTTCCTCTCCCCAACTCGGAGGCTTTCCAGGTGCAATTTGAGGAGTCATTCTCTCTCTGCTCTTAACCCCCTGCTCCCCCAGGTGCCCAGCTCTGCCCTTAGCTCTGCACTGCAGCCATCTGTACTCCTTAGTGCTCATAATGCTAGCCGTTAAATGGAGATGGACACAATCCAGAAAGCTTCCTCTCGCACTCTCTGCTGGTCCATTCTGTATTTTTTTTTTTAAACCTCTTCTTTCTCTTCTCTCTGTCCCCCCCCCCCCCGATTTTTCCTTTTCTTTGCTCTCTGATGCTTCAAACACCAAGGTACCCTAAAGGCAGCAGAAACACCTAGCAAGCACATGCTAAATATTTGAACAGGCCTGGGTGGGTTGGAATCTTTCCTGTTCATTTCTCCCTCCTTCTCTCTTCTTCCCACCCTCCCCAATTGTTTTCCTTCCATCCTTCTCTCTCTCTGAAAGAGGGGATAGTGGTGCAGGAAGAAGCTTGTGTAAAACAGACAGATGGGGCAGCCAGCTAGCAAATACTCTGCACAAATATGTGGTTTCCCTCTCTTCCTGCCCCTTCCTCCAAAGGCCCCAAGGGAAGTGCAGGTGTACTTCAAATCTCACTTCTACTCATGATTCCATATCCCTGTGAAGCCAGCAAGAGGATGTTTTGTTATGATTGGAGAAGAGTACCCTCCTCCTTTGGTTCAAGTATAGGAAATGTAGTGGCATCTTCATAAGCATGACCAAGAACCTTGTTTTATAATTTCAGCTGACTGAAACCGTTTTATCATGGCGTGTTCTGTAGCCCAGGGTCCACGTCATTGTGTGCATGAATACAGACCCTCTTCCTTTTTCTATCATTTCCAGTGTCCCACTTCCTCCATGCATGTTAATGCCTTGGTTGTGATTGGGAAATAATTTGGAGGTGGTGTTAAGTGATCCTCTGCAGTAGATCCCACCTTCAGCACAATATTAAGGGCACAAGAAGAGCCCTGCTGCATCAGGCCAAAGCCCCCTCTATCTAGTTCAATATCCTTTTCTCACTGTGGCTAACCAGATGTCTATGAGAAGCTCCCAATCATAGCTTGAGAGCAACAGCGACTGGTGTTCTGCCTGTGGAAGCAGAATGTAGCCATCGTGGCTAGTAGCCATTAATAGCCTTATCCTATGTGCAAAGGGAAATCCCCCCAGTTTTTCATTCATGCTGGTTTCTGCAGAACCATGCCATTTTCTGCCACATAACAGCAGGTCCTGGAATCCCCTTGTGCATTGCTGACCTTCCTCCAAACCCTAGTGGGTGCACGGAGCAGTTCGACAGTTGTGGATTTGCCTTTAATGGGACTTGGCTGATGATAATGGCTCCAATGATGAAGTATATGGGAAGGTGCTGTGCTTCTAAGATGCCTTGGCAAGGGGTATTAAGTAGTGAGAAGCTGAACTCTCAGCTCCAATCCTGCAAAGGCCACTTCCTTTGATACATGTGTTTCATACAGTTCACTGAAATTTACTCTCTGGAACTTTCTTCTGGATGGGGGGCTGATGAACATGCTCCCCTCAACAGATACCCGTGGTGTATACGTGGATGAGTGTGCCCCCAAACTTAATGGTCCTTCAATTACCCCCATGTGAGTATCCACATTCCCTTACATGCCCAGTAGTTGACTAAAACTTGCTTGCAAAAGCCAGCCTTCATCCTGCACCCCTACCCTAGCACAAATACCTTCTGCTTCTGAGCTGTAACCCCGCAACCCTCCCTCACTTCCCCTTGTCCAAAGCCCTTTGTTTGGGGTGGGGGGTGCTGGGGGGGCTGTCTTCCTGCTCCGCTCCCCTCTCCTCAGCATTCCATGAGAGTGAAACACAAGCGCTGGCAGGGACCATGTCTCTCTCTCTCTCTTTCTCTGGCCCATTCTCCAATTCCTGAACAAAGCCTGCCCCAGCTCTCCTGGGAGCTGAGCCTGAAACAGGAGAGGCCGCTGCTGCCTGGAATGGTGATTGCTCCTTTTCGGCCTACCTCAGGTTTCCATTGTGGGAGCTGGAGCTCAGGTGGGGGTGGGCTGGGGTTGAGGAGGGCAGAGGCAAGGATTGCAGGATTCTTGTGGTCGCCCCTAGGCAGTGCCCTTCACCACACCCCTCAAATCTCTGGCGAGGGTTCTACCGGTTGACTCGGTTTGTTGAAATGCTGCAAAGTCTCTGGCTGTGGTTGCACATCCAAGGCGTCTCCTAAAGGCCTGGAGGCTGGCTTTGCCCTTGCCGCAACAGCGTTATTGCAAAACTACAGGAACCTTCTGATTTTCCACCCTGTCACATTTTTAGCAGGACTCCTTCTAGGTCATGCCAGTTGGCATGGAAGCCTTCACCTCAGGCACAGGAAGATCTTGCACCAGCTTCTTCTTTGTTAGGTAAATGTGGCAATGCGATTCTGCATGAATCCAGAGCAACCTGAGTTTCTTGTGCCCTCTTTGTCAACCAAACGAGGCACGTGGGAGATTTTGGGAGCTGTTGCTCCTTGGTTTTGGGAGTTCCCTGTTGACTAAATGTTGGGCACCCTAGTATCAAGATGATAGTGCTCAGGGCTGTGTGTTATTCTGTGATTGCGCCGTGGTAGCCTAGCATTTGGCATTCTGGGCGTATAAAGTCCTGGCTTTAGTTTTTATTTAAATTCCATCAGGTTTCTAGTCCTCATGACTAGCTTGAAAATTTGTAGACAATGCCTGATGCTGGAACTGGGCGGTAGCAGAGGGAACTAAGCAGAAAGAAGGTGGAAATTGGAGTACGCTCCCCTTCTTCTGCACGGGCTAGCAAATGCCAGATAAGTTATCCAAAATAAGCAAATATGTGCAGGTATCTTCAAATTTGTACAAAATGATCAGGACCCCCCCCCCCCATGGCGCAGAATTAGTGTTATCTAGGAGCAAACTTTGATCAAAATTTTGTCTAATGCACGTAACTCTGGTAATGAAGTTGCTTTTAGTTCAGGGATTTTCCAAACCAAATTCCAGGTGTGATTGCCAGCAAGGGGTTCTGGGTAAAAACTGACTGCTCCGGTGATGTAGAAAGCAAGATAGGAGCAGTAGCAAAAGGCACATGATGATGAAAATACAGGAACAGTGGCTGGAATAGGGGAGTTGATCTCAACAGCCCCTGAAACTATGCAGAGGCTCTGTAGGTGGTTTTCACCCCCTCCCCCTGCTTGCCAGCCTGGTAGAAAGTTGATCCTGTGCAACGTACAGTATAGTAAATCTTCTGCCTGTTTGGTGCAGCGCAGCTGCTGAAGAATGGGTTTGTGTCTGCGTGGATTCCATCCATTCAGGTCTTAGGTCCCACCTAAACTATAAGTTTACGGCAGTATCATACCACTTCAAACAGCCGTGGCTCCTCCCCAACAATCCTGGGAACTGTAGTTAGCTAAAAGTTGTTAGGAGACCCTCTATTCCCCTCCC